CTGTCATGTATCTAGGCTTAGTCTGTTGCTGCACATCAGTCTGCACTCTGCGTTATAACCGAAGTAATCCAATAGGACCATGCCGCTTGAGAGTGAGTGGTATTTGCTTACAAATAAACTCCAAGTGGGAGCACCAGTGCGCACTTTTGATTGGACGCTGGTTGCCTAGGTGCAGGGGCCCACCTTCCGCCTTTTGCGGAAGGAGGGAACTTTTAAAGAGTCAGCTGCTTCAATCTTAATGCAGAAATAAGACAAAATGCAGAGGAAAATAATAATAATAATAATAATAATAATAATAATAATAATAATAATAATAATAATAATAATTTTATGTTTAAGAGAGAGATACAGCAGATGATGATACTGTGGCATCGGAGTCAGCAACTCGCTTAACTTGGGTGTGCTCCTCTTGTACAAAGTCTACGGGTACAGTACCTGGAGGAACCTTATCCTACCTTGTCCACCCCTGCCCACACCTCTAATCGGTGCCCTAAAACTGTGGCTACAGGCCAACCACCCAAGCCTCTCTAAGCCTACTACTCGGAGAAGCCAAGTTACTCCAGGGACGGGCATCTGAAATCAGCATGCCCATGACGCACCCACCTGGTAAAACGGGAAAGAACAAAGCTGTCTACTCTGTCAAATGTCCTTGAGCCGGGGAAGGCACTGGCAAAGCATCCCAACGGCTGTTCGTGAAGCCATTCATTCAGACTGTGTTAGTCTGAGTGCAGCCTTGCAATCCTTAGTGCTCTCTGTTGACAGCTACTTGAGAGCTGGTTAAGCAAAATCAGCATTAAAGTTTATACGATTCTGCATGGTCTCACTTTACCTCTTTTGTACCACCTTCTCTGTAGCCCCAACGCCCTAAATATATCCATTGTATGTGCTTTAATAGTCCACAGTTTTGAATCTCGCACTTTTTTTCTTCTTCTAATATTTCCAAAACTAACTCTGTCTTTGTTCTTTATCCTCCATGTCCCGCTGCCTGAGAGGCCGGCCACTGGCCAGCCACTAAGAGTCTCTCTTTGCCACTGAAGAAGGGAAACCTATATCCAGATTGCAGCTTTCTGCTCACCTCTGCCTGCTCTGCCAATCCTGTTGGCTCCTACCTGAGTACAACTCTACGCATTCACCACGCATAGGCACAGCTACAACTGCATCTTCCATCGTCCCCGTCTCGACGCTCAAGGCTACGGGTCAATGGTCCCGATCAGCCTTTGAATGATACCTCAGGCCCAAGGCTAATATATTATTATTATTATTAGAATATTCCTATGCTCGATTAGCTACAAAAAAAAAAAATGCTGCTGCTCCTTAATTCTTTCCCATATCTATTGCATTACGCATATTCCCAACTATAAATTTGTGTATGGATTAAATTAATCCTGATCCATGATCATGTTGTGAGGGTAACCAATACTATGCAAGCTTTGTAGGTGGGTAGGTTGCTTCATAGTTTCTCGCTGCTGGCTGCCCTCCCTCCCCCGTAGGTGCCTTCATGTAGCTCATGAAAGCTGGGGAGGGTTGCCAGTATGGCTGCTGCTTTTTCTGCCTTGGCTTTTCATATATGCACATGAAAGGGAGGGGAGGGCATTCCCTCTCATTGCCTTGGGATTCTATGCAAGCACATGAGAGAGCAGGGAACTCTCAGAACACAGCCATACCGACAATGTTAAAAAATTTTTTGCTAGTAATAAATAATTGATTCTAACTAAAGTAGTCCTGACTGAAATTAAGCATGGCTGTAGTTCAGGCAGGACACAAGGTACAGTCAAGCTAAAGGTTAAAGCCAGCTGATCTTAAGCTAGCCCTCAGTCAGATGACAGCTTAGCTGATCGCCCTCCACACATCCTTCAGATCGCTACACGGCTCATTCCTTTCACATAGGTGCAGCTACAACCGCAGCTATGACGGCTCCTGTGTCGACCCTCAAAGCCATGGGCCAATAGTCGTCAGCTGCGTACAAATGCTATCTGCGCCCCGAGGCTCGGGACATTCTCGAAGCCCAAAAACTATGAGTACCCATAACTTTGGCACATAGATGCTAATTAAATGAAATATATAAACAACCTGCAGATAAATATCCATGCTTGGGCAACGGGTCTCTCTAACCCGTCTTTCTTTCAGCAGCGCTCACCTCCCCTGCTAGCTCCTAGACTGCACGGCATGGTTGTTTTGGGGGGTTCTGTTCATTGCTGCTCTACCCCTGCCTCCTCCGCCTTCATGATGGCACGTGGAGGGCGGGAAGGTGCTCTTCCTGCCGCTGGCCTTTCACCCCTGCCAACGTGGAGAACGGGGGCCCTGAACAGAACCTCGCGTGCGCTCCCTGCTATCGCCTTTCATGATGGCTCGTGAAAGGCAGGAAGGGGCTCTTCCTGCCTCGGGCTTCCACACAAGCGCGTGGAAGGGCAGGGACCCGGAACAGAATCATGCCGCCAAATCTAACTTGCACAATAAAGCTAAAAATTTGGACAAAGTGTACCTGACTGAAATGAAGCATAGCGTTAGTTCTGTCAGGACACAACGTCAAGCGCTGATCCACAGCCAATGGCTAGTAGCCACCTCAACCAGATGATAATCAGCTGATTCACACCTAGATCCTATTGGTTCTTTGCCTATAGAGTGCCTTATTTAAAACTGCACTAACCCAGCCTCTTCCTCTGCTCTGACAGCAAACCAGCAACACACTGCCACACCAGCTCCACCCTCGTGCCAGCTAATTGCTCCACTGTCCTTGAAGCGCTCCTGTTCCAGGGGGGTTTGTTCATTGCTGCTCTACCCCCGCCACCTCCGCCTTCATGATGGCTCGAGGAGGGCGAGTTTAACAATTTCCACAACCTCAAGTTCAAAAAGAACACAAACTCAAGTTCAAACACGCCACGAACTCAAGTTCAACAAACAAACAAACTCAAACTCAAGTTCAAAAACACCACAAACTCAAGTTCAACCAACACCCAAATCTAAAGTTTAACAATTGCCGAAGCCTCAAGTAAGAAAAACAACAAAAATTCAGGTTAAAACATGCCACAAACTCAAGCTCAACACCGCCACAAACTCAAGTTAAAAAACACCACAAACCCAAGTTCAAACACGCCACGAACTCAAGTTCAACCAAATCCCAAATCTCAAGTTTGACAATTGCCACAACCTCAAGTTCAAAAACAACAGAAACTCAAGTCAAAACACGCCACAAACTCAAGTTAAACAAACACACAAACTCAAGTTCAAAAACACCACAAACTCAAGTTCAACCAACACCCAAATCTCAAGTTTAACAATTGCCACAAACTTAAATTCAAAAAACACACAAAAATTCAAACTAAAGTTCAGGGAAAAATACAGACTCAAGTTCAACAATTGCCACAAACTCAAGTTCAACAAACACCACAATCTTAAGTTCAAAAAATGCCAAAATTTCAAATTCAACAAATGACCTAAACTCACATTTAACAATTGCCAAAAACTCAAGTTCAACAAACTCAAGTTCAAAAATTGCAACAACCTCAAGTTCAAAAAACACACAAATTCAAGTTCAAAAACACCACAAACTCAAGTTAAAAAAAACACAAAAATTCAAGTTCAAAAACACCACAAACTCAAGTTAAATGAACACCACAAAGTCAAGTTCAACAAATGTCAAAGTTTTAAGTTCAACCAACACCCAAATCTAAAGATTAACAATTGCCAAAACCTCAAGTTAAAAAACAACACAAACTCAAGTTCAAACACGCGACAAACTCAAGTTTAACAATTGCCACCAAATAAAGTTCACTAAAAACCAAAGACTCAAGTTCAAAACTCAAGTTCAAAAATTGCAACAAACTCAAGTTCAAACACAACACTCAAGTTCAAACACGACACAAACTCAAGTTCAAACACGACACAAACTCAAGTTCAAACACGACACAAACTCAAGTTCAAACACGACACAAACTCAAGTTCAACAAACACACGAACTCAAGTTCAACAATTGCCACCAACTAATGTTCAGAGAAAAATACAGACTCAATGTTAACAATTGCCACAAACTCAAGTTCAACAAACACCACAAGCTTAAGTTCAAAAAATGCCAAAATTTAAAATTCAACAAATAACCTATATTAACATTAAAGAATTGCCAAAAACTTTAGTTCAACAAACTCAGGTTCAAAAAACACACAAATTCAAGTTCAAAAACACCACAAACTCAAGTTCAAAAATGCCGAAACTTAATTTCAACCAACACCCAAATCTCAAGTTTAACAAATTGCCACAACCTCATGTTCAAAAACAACAGAAACTCAAATTCAAAAACACCAAAAACTCAAGTTAAAAAAACCCACACAAATTCAAGATCACAAAACAGCAAAATCTCAAGTTCAAACACGACACAAACTCAGGTTCAACAAACACACAAACTCAAGTTTAACCAATACCCAATTCTCACGTTTAACAATTTCCACAACCTCAAGTTCAAACACGACACAAACTCAAGTTCAAACACGACACAAACTCAAGTTCAAACACGACACAAACTCAAGTTCAAACAACACCCAAATATCAAGTTTAACATCTGCCAAAACCTCAAGTTCAAAAACACCACAAACTGAAGTTCCAAACGACAAAAACTTAAGTTCAACAAACCCCAAAAACTCAGGTTCAAAAATACCACAAACTCAAGTTCTAAATGACAAAAACTCAAGTTCAACAAACACACGAAACTCAAGTTCAACCAATGCCCACTTCGCAAGTTTAACAATTTCCACAACCTCAAGTTTAAAAAAAAAACAAAAACTCAAGTTCAGACACACCACAAACTCAAGTTAGAAAAACACACAGACTCAAGTTAAAAAATAACCAGAAAATCTAGTTCAAACACTTCACAAACTCAAGTTCAAAAACACCACAAACTCAAGTTCAACCAACACCGAAGTCACAAGTTTAACAATTGCCACAAACTTCAGTTCAAAAAACACAAAAGCTCAAGATCAAAAACACCACAAACTCAAGTTCAAACACGATTCACAAACTCAAGTTCAACCAAATCCCAAATCTCAAGTTTAACAATTTCCACAACCTCAAGTTCAAAACCAACAGAAACTCAAGTTCAAACACGCCACAAACTCAAGTACAGAAAAACACCACAAACTCAAGTTCAACAAATGCCACCAAGTAAAGTTCAGAGAAAAATACAGACTCAAGGTTAACAATTGCCACATACTCAAGTTCATCAAACACCACAAGCTTAAGTTCAAAAAATGACAAAATTTCAAATTCAACAAATGACCTATATTCACATTAAACAATTGCCAAAAACTCAAGTTCAACGAACTCAAGTTAAAAAAGTGCCACAAAATGAAGTTCAAAAACACCACAAACTCAAATTCAAAAAACACACAAACTCAAGTTCAAAAACACCACAAACTCAATTTCAAACACGATACAAACTCAAGTTCAACAAACACCACAAACTCAAGTTCAACAAATGTCACAGTTTCAAGTTCAACCAACACCCGATTCTGAGGTTTAACAATTTCCACAACCTCAAGTTCAAAAAACACCACAAACTCAAGTTCAAACACGCCACAAACTCAAGTTCAACAAACGCCACAAACTCAACTTCAAAAACACCACACAAACTGAAGTTCTAAAACGACACAAACTCAAGTTCAACAAACACAACAAGTCAAGTTCAAGCATCACCCGATTCTCAAGTTTAACAATTTCCACAACCTCAAGTTCAAAAAACACACAAACTCAAGTTCAAAAACACCAGAACCTCAAGTTCAAAAAACATAATAAACTCAAGTTCAAATATTCCACAAACTCAAGTTCAATGAACACCACAAACTCAAGTTCAACCAACACCCGATTCTCAAGTTTAACAATTGCCACAACCTCAAGTTGAAAAAAACACAAACTCAAGTTCAAACACTTCACAAACTCAAGTTCAACAAACGCCACAAACTCAAGTTCAACAATTGCCACCAACTAAAGTTCACTAAAAACCAAAGACTCAAGTTCAACAATTCCCAAAAAATCAAGCGAAACAAACTCAAGTTCATAAGTTGTCACAAACTTCAAACACGACACAAACTCAAGTTCAAAAACACCACAAACTCAAGTTCAAAAAGACACAAACTCAAGTTCAACAAACAAAACTAACTATTTAGAGTAATTTTGAGGTGTTTGAGAGGTTTTTTGTAGACTTACCCTAGTGGTCCTATGTTGTTGTTGATGTGAGGCGTTTCTTTTCCAGTAGTCTAAAATCTGTTGGAGGGGGGAAAAGGTTCCAGCTGTCCAGCCGCGGCGGCAGCGGTGTGTCTGAAGTCCGGGGTCCTCGGCGGGGGAAAGAAGATAGGCGCTCCGCGGCAAGGTTTGCTGGGACTCGGTGCCGTCGGCGGGTCGAAGCTCGGTGGTGGGCGGCTTGGAGTGATGGAGGTGCGGCGTCTTCTTTCAGGTGGCGGCGCGGCGTCTTCCTCGAGGCGGTGGTCGGTCTTCTTGGTCCAGTGGTCAGTGCTTTGTCTCAATTACAGGAACAGGAATTGCTCTTTAGTGCACAGCACTTAAATGTGCTTTTTGACAGGAGAAGACATCCCCAGAGTTGGGCTCGAGTCATGGTTCGTGCTGTTCCTCTCAGACATGGTTGTGTTCTCTTCTCGATGTTTGTATTCCAGAATGGATGTCTCTTGGTTGTATTTTAAACTTTCAAGTTGTTTTAAGTTAATTTTAATGTAGTTTATTTATTTTAAATTTAGTTTTGCTACATTAAATTTGTATGCAATCGTAAGGGATTGTGGGTATTTTAGTTCTGAGGGATGAGAGCCTAAGGAATCAATCTTCCTGTTACAGCAAAGGATTGTGGGTAAAACCGTGAGTGAGTGAGGTACTTCCTTTCTGCCATGAGAGCCTTGGGAATCAATCTCCCTGTTGCAGCAAAGGATTGTGGGTAAAACCGTGAGTGAGGGAGGTACATTTTTCCTGGCATGAGAACCTCAGGAGTCAGTCCTTCCTAAGAAAAAAGAGGGGAGGGGGGAAGACAAACAAAAGCACAGGAACCCTAAAATGAAATAAAATAAAATAAAATGAAATAATATAAAACAATGAAAAAATAAAAAATAAAAGAAGAACAAAAGTGGATTGCAAAAGGGAAAGGAGAAGAAAAAGGAAAAAAAGAAGTGTCAAGAGCAAATAGCAAAAAACGGAAGTGAGCTTAAAAACAGAGAACAGTTCCCTAAAAGACAGACAGAAATGTAAATTTGATCAATGTCCTAAGGGAAAATTTGCACGTGTATGTGTGTTCTTTTTTACTAGCTTAGTCTGGTGTCACTGATGGTCAGTTATCAATAAGTATTTATTATTTAAATTTTTGATGAAGTTGTTTGTAGTGGGGTTAGCTGGCTAATTTTAGAGTGTTAAAAAAGATGTTAGAGGGGGAGGATTTAGGTGGCACGGCGGTTCCCCTTCAGGTCTCTCTTAATCTTCAATATAGGTGACCCAACAGGGGTTACCCCCCGGCCAGGGTAGGCCGAGGCTGAAGATCACCTATTTGTCATCTGTGAAGGTGAAAATAAAGGGGCAGGGGAGGGAATAAGAAAGAGGGGGGGGTGTTAGAGAGAGGGGGAGAGATGAGGGAGAGAGATGAGGGAGAGAGAGAGAGACAGAGAGGGGGGGGGGGGGTGAGAGAGAGAGAGAGAGAGAGAGAAGGGAAGAGGGAGAGGGGGGTTTAAGGGAGAGGTGGAGATGGTGGAAAATAAAGATTGGTGAGGGGGATTTGGTGGCGGATGAAACATCCCATAGCTCCCCAGCTCTCACCATCCATGTGAGGAGAGTGAGCAAGGGACATAGTCACCCGACCCGACTAGGTCTAGGCTCTGCTCTCCTCACGGTCCTCACAAGATACAAAGAGATATGTAAACGTGGAAGTGAGAGTTCACTAGGCAGAGTTTTGGGTTTGGTTTGAGCTGAGTTGGTCAGTTGATTATTGATTACTATTTTAAGTTCTAAAAGTGGATAGAGTCAAAAAGTCACAGAGGATTGTGGTGGGAGCAGGTGGTCCATCTGGCACCATTCTGCTCATGCAGGGATTCGAGTGATAGAAAGAGAATAGATCTTGCCACCGTGACTCGCCATTGAGACTCTCCTCACCTGCTGGTTTTCATCCTCTGATAGGAGAGAGAGGTACAGATCAGGAGAGAGGGAGAAAAGGAGGGAGGCAGGGTGGGGTCAGGAGTTAATTTGTCTTGAAAAGTATTTATCTTTTCATCATTGCTGTTAGGGTTTAGATGTTTTTTGTTTAGTTTTCTGAGGAATGTAGTGTTAGTATAGGTTCCAAGGTGGAGGATTCTTTGGAATTCACTCTCACCCTTGAAACTGGAAGATCTTAGACTCTATAAAGGGGGGGGGGGGGGGAGGTTGTGTGCACAGAAGGAGCATGGGCTCAGACTATTCTCGGAATGATATTGTGACAAGTCTGTCCGAAGGTAAGTGGCTGGTTAGGTGTGGGAAAGAGATAGAGTGATAGCCCCCGCTTTCGTCAGTTGACTTGGCGGTTTGAGGTAGGCTGATCAAGGACTTGCACTGGCCGGCGCATGTCGACCTGTCACATGTTCCAGTCGAGTCTCCGAGCTCAATCTGTGTGTAAAAATTATGTGTTGGTAGAAAGTTTAATGACTCAGCTCAGTTGGTATGCTATGCTGTCTATCTTTTAGACTATGTGTTTGTTGAGCAATTTTATGTATATATTATGTTACAGGGCTAGGAAAAGGTTAAAGGTTTTTGACGTTAGGGTTAAAATCACTGTCCAAAACCTTTGTAGGAACTCTTTTCCAACCTTTTGGAGGGAGCTAGACTAGAAAAAAAAAAAGAAAAAGAAAAGAAAAATTGGGGTGTTCGGGCTTCCTGAAGGTAATACCCGGTATTAGGTTTTGGGGCTAGGGTAACTTTTAAGGTTTTTGGCGATATGGTTAAAATCACTGTCCAAAACCTTTGTAGGAAGTCTTTTCCAACCTTTTGGAGTTAGTTAGACAAAAAAAAAAAGATAAATGAAAAAAAAATATTTGGGGTGTTCGGGCTTCCTGAAGGTAATACCCGGGTATTAGGTTATGGGGCTAGGGTAAGGTTTAAGGCTTTTGGCGTATGGGTTAAAATCACTGTCCAAAACCTTTTTAGGAACATGTTTCAGACCTTTTGGAGTTAGTTAGACCAAAAAAAAAGATAAATGAAAAAAATATATTTGGGGTGTTCGGGCTTCCTGAAGGTAATACCCGGGTATTAGGTTAGGGGCTAAGGTAAGGTTTAAGGTTTTTGGCGTGAGGGTTAAAATCACTGTCCAAAACCTTTGTAGGAACTCTTTACCATCCTTTTGGAGTTAGTTAGACCAAAAAAAAAAACGAAAAATGAAAAAAATATATTTGGGGTGTTCGGGCTTCCTGAAGGTAATACCCGGGTATTAGGTTATGGGGCTAGGGTAAGGTTTAAGGTTTTTGGCGCGAGGGTTAAAATCACTGTCCAAAACCTTTGTAGGAACTCTTTTCCAACCTTTTGGAGTTAGTTAGACCAAAAAAAATAAAAAAAAAAATATATTTGGGGTGTTCGGGCTTCCTGAAGGTAATACCCGGGTATTAGGTTTTGGGGCTAGGGTAAGGTTTAAGGTTTTTGGCGTAGGGTTAAAATCACTGTCCAAAACCTTTGTAGGAACTCTTTCCAACCTTTTGGAGTTAGTTAGACCAAAAAAAAACGAAAAATGAAAAAAATATATTTGGGGTGTTCGGGCTTCCTGAAGGTAATACCCGGGTATTAGGTTATGGGGCTAGGGTAAGGTTTAAGGTTTTTGGCGTAGGGTTAAAATCACTGTCCAAAACCTTTGTAGGAACTCTTTTCCAACCTTTTGGAGTTAGTTAGACCAAAAAAAATGAAAATGAAAAAAAATTTGGGGTGTTCGGGCTTCCTGAAGGTAATACCCGGGTATTAGGTTTTGGGGCTAGGGTAAGGTTTAAGGTTTTTGGCGTATGGGTTAAAATCACTGTCCAAAACCTTTGTAGGAAGTCTTTTCCAACCTTTTGGAGTTAGTTAGACCAAAAAAAAAAGATAAATGAAAAAAAAATATTTGGGGTGTTCGGGCTTCCTGAAGGTAATACCCGGGTATTAGGTTATGGGGCTAGGGTAAGGTTTAAGGATTTTGGCGTATGGGTTAAAATCACTGTCCAAAACCTTTTTAGGAACATGTTTCAGACCTTTTGGAGTTAGTTAGTCCAAAAAAAAGATAAATGAAAAAAATATATTTGGGGTGTTCGGGCTTCCTGAAGGTAATACCCGGGTATTAGGTTAGGGGCTAAGGTAAGGTTTAAGGTTTTTGGCGTGAGGGTTAAAATCACTGTCCAAAACCTTTGTAGGAACTCTTTACCATCCTTTTGGAGTTAGTTAGACCAAAAAAAAAAACGAAAAATGAAAAAAAATATATTTGGGGTGTTCGGGCTTCCTGAAGGTAATACCCGGGTATTAGGTTAGGGGCTAAGGTAAGGTTTAAGGTTTTTGGCGCGAGGGTTAAAATCACTGTCCAAAACCTTTGTAGGAACTCTTTTCCAACCTTTTGGAGTTAGTTAGACCACAAAAAATTAAAAAAAAATATTTGGGGTGTTCGGGCTTCCTGAAGGTAATACCCGGTATTAGGTTTTGGGGCTAGGGTAAGGTTTAAGGTTTTTGGCGATAGGGTTAAAATCACTGTCCAAAACCTTTGTAGGAACTCTTTTCTGACCTTTTGGAGTTAGTTAGACAAAAAAAAAAAGATAAATGAAAAAAAAATATTTGGGGTGTTCGGGCTTCCTGAAGGTAATACCCGAACATTAGGTTATGGGGCTAGGGTAAGGTTTAAGGTTTTTGGCGTAAGGGTTAAAATCACTGTCCAAAACCTTTTTAGGGAACATGTTTCAGACCTTTTGGAGATGGTTACACCAAAAAAAATGTAAAATGAAAAAAAATATATTTGGGGTGTTTGGGCTTCCTGAAGGTAATACCCGGGTATAAGGTTATGGGGCTATGGTAAGGTTTAAGGTTTTTGGCGTTAGGGTTAAAATCACTGTCCAAAACCTTTGTAGGAACTCTTTTCCAACCTTTTGGAATTAGTTAGACAAAAAGAAAATGAAAACTGAAAAAAAAATGTTTGGGGTTTTCGGGCTTCCTGAAGGTAATATCCGGGTATTAGGTCATGGGGCTATGGTAAGGTTTAAGGTTTTTGGCATTAGGGTTAAAATCACTGTCCAAAACCTTTGTAGGAACTCTTTTCCAACCTTTTGGAGTTAGTTAGACCAAAAAAAATGAAAAATGAAAAAAATATATTAGGGGTTTTCGGGCTTCCTGAAGGTAATACCTGGGTATTCGGTTATGGGGCTATGGTAAGGTTTAAGGTTATTGGCGTTAGGGTTAAAATCAGTGTCCAAAACCTTTGTTGGAACTCTTTTCCAACCTTTTGGAGTTAGTTAGACCAAAAAAAAAAGAAAAATAAAACAAATATATTTGGGGTGTTTAGGCTTCCTGAAGGTAATACTCGGGTATTAGGGTATGGGGCTTGGGTAAGGTTTAAGGTTTTTGGCGTGAGGGTTAAAATCACTGTCCGAAACCTTTTTAGGAACATGTTTCAGACCTTTTGGAGTTGGTTACACTAAAAAAAATTGTACAATGAAAAAAAAATATTTGGGGTGTTCGGGCTTCCTGAAGGTAATACCCGGGTATAAGGTTATGGGGCTATGGTAAGATTTAAGGTTTTTGGCGTTAGGGTTAAAATCACTGTCCAAAACCTTTGTAGGAACTCTTTTCCAACCTTTTGGAGTTAGTTAGACAAAAAGAAAATGAAAACTGAAAAAAAACTGTTTGGGGTTTTCGGGCTTCCTGAAGGTAATATCCGGGTATTAGGTCATGGGGCTAGGGTAAGGTTTAAGGTTTTTGGCATAAGGGTTAAAATCAGTGTCCAAAACCTTTGTAGGAACTCTTTTCCAAACTTTTGGAGTTAGTTAGACCAAAAAAAATGAAAAATGAAAAAAAAAATATTTAGGGTTTACGGGCTTCCTGAAGGTAATACCCGGGTATTAGGGTATGGGGCTAGGGTAAGGTTTAAGTTTTTTGCCGTTGGGGTTAAAATCACTGTCCAAAACCTTGTTAGGAACATGTTTCAGACCTTTTGGAGTTGGTTTCACCAAAAAAAAATGAAAGATGAAAAAAAAATATTTGGGGTGTTCAGGGCTTCCTGAAGTTAATACCCGGGTATTAGGTTATGGGGCTTGGGTAAGGTTTAAGGTTTTTGGCGTGAGGGTTAAAATCACTGTCCGAAACCTTTTTAGGAACATGTTTCAGACCTTTTGGAGTTGGTTACACTAAAAAAAATTGTACAATGAAAAAAAATATTTGGGGTGTTCGGGCTTCCTGAAGGTAATACCCGGGTACAAGGTTATGGGGCTTGGGTAAGGTTTAAGGTTTTTGGCGTGAGGGTTAAAATCACTGTCCGAAACCTTTTTAGGAACATGTTTCAGACCTTTTGGAGTTGGTTACACTAAAAAAAATTGTACAATGAAAAAAAAATATTTGGGGTGTTCGGGCTTCCTGAAGGTAATACCCGGGTATTAGATCATGGGGCTATGGTAAGGTTTAAGGTATTTTGGCATTAGGGTTAAAATCACTGTCCAAAACCTTTGTAGGAACTCTTTTCCAACCTTTTGGAGTTAGTTAGACCAAAAAAAATGAAAAATGAAAAAAATATATTTGGGGTTTTCGGGCTTCCTGAAGGTAATACCTGGGTATTAGGTTATGGGGCTATGGTAAGGTTTAAGGTTTTTGGCGTTAGGGTTAAAATCACTGTCCAAAAACTTTGTAGGAACTCTTTTCCAACCTTTTGGAGTTAGTTAGACAAAAAGAAAATGAAAACTGAAAAAAAAATGTTTGGGGTGTTCGGGCTTCCTGAAGGTAATACCCGGGTATTAGGTCATGGGGCTATGGTAAGGTTTAAGGTTTTTTGGCATTAGGGTTAAAATCACTGTCCAAAACCTTTGTAGGAACTCTTTTCCAACCTTTTGGAGTTAGTTAGACCAAAAAAAATGAAAAATGAAAAAAATATATTTGGGGTTTTCGGGCTTCCTGAAGGTAATACCTGGGTATTAGGTTATGGGGCTTGGGTAAGGTTTAAGGTTTTTGGCGTAAGGGTTAAAATCACACTCCAAAACCTATGTAGGAACTCTTTTCCAACCTTTTGGTGTTAGTTAGACTTTAAAAAAAAATGAAAAATGAAAAAGAATATTTGGGGTGTTCGGGCTTCCTGAAGGTATTATTAGGTTATTAGGTTATGGGGCTAGGGTAAGGTTTAAGTTTTTTTGGGTAAGGGTTAAAATCAGTGTCCAAAACCTTTTTAGGAACTCTTTTCCAACCTTTTGGAGTTAGTTAGACAAAAAAAGAGAAAAAAAAAATATATATATATTTGGGGTGTTTGGGCTTCCTGAAGGTATTATTAGGTTATTAGGTTATGGGGCTAGGGTAAGGTTTAAGTTTTTTGGCGTAAGGGTTAAAATCAGTGTCCAAAACCTTTTTAGGAACATGTTTCAGACCTTTTGGAGTTATTTAGATAAAAAAAAATTAAAAATGAAAAAAAATATTTGGGGTGTTCGGGCTTCCTGAAGGTAATACCTGGGTATTAGGTTATGGGGCTATGGTAAGGTTTAAGGTTTTTGGCGTTAGGGTTAAATATCCAATATTAAGTTTAAAAATTGCCACAAACTCAAGTTCAAACACGAAACAAACTCAATTTAAAAAACACCAAAAACTCAAGTTCAACAAATACCCAATCCTTAAATTTAACAATTTTCACAACCTTTAAGTTAAAAAAAACCACAAACATAAGTTAAAACAAGACACAAACTAAAGTTCAACAAAACAAAAAACTCAAGTTCAACCAACACCTGATATTCAAGTTTGAAAATTTTCACAGCCTCAAGTTCAAACATGACACAAACTCAAGTTCAACCAACACCCAAATCTCAAGTTTAACAAATTCTACAACCTAAAGTTCAAAAACACCACAAACCCAAGTTCAACAACACCACAAACTCAAGTTCAAACACGACACGAACTCAAGTTCAAACACGACACAAACTCAAGTTCAACAAACACACTAACTGAAGTTCAACCAACACCTGATTCTCAAGTTTAACAATTTCCAAAACCTCAAGTTCAAAAACAACAGAAACAGTTCAAAAAAACCTCAACCTCAAGTTCAAAAACGACACAAACTCAAGTATAAAAACACATACTCAAGTTAAAAAAATAACACGAACTCAAGTTCAACCAACACCCAAATCTCAAGTTTAACCAACACCCAAATCTCAAGTTTAACAATTGCCACAACCTCAAGTTCAACAAACACACAAACTCAAATTCAAACACACCACAAACTCAAGTTAAAAACACGACACAAACTCAAGTAAAAAAAAACCATAAACTCAAGTTCAACCAATACCCAATTCTCAAGTTTAACAATTTCCACAACTTCAAGTTCAAAAACAACACAGACTCAAGTTCAAAAAAACCACAAACTCAAGTTCAAACACGACACAACCTCAAGTTCAACAAAAACCACAAACTCAAGTTCAACCAACACATGATTCTCACGTTTAAAAATTTTCAGAACCTCAAGTTCAAAAAACACACAAATTCAAGTTAAACAAATAATAGGAATGCAAGTTCTGAAACGACACAAACTCAAGTTCTGAAACGACACAAACTCAAGTTCAACCAACACCCAAATCTCAAGTTTAACAATTGCCACAACCTCAAGTTCAACAAACACACAAACTCAAATTCAAACACACAACAAACTCAAGTTCAAACATGACACAAACTCAAGTTCAAAAACTCAAGTTCAGCCAATACCCAATTCTCAAGTTTAACAATTTCCAAAACCTCAAGTTCAAAAGCAACACAGACTCAAGTTCAAAAACACCACAAACTCAAGTTCAAACACGACACAAGCTCAAGTTCAACAAACCCCTCAAACTCAAGTTCAAACACGACACATGCTCAAGTTCAACAAATCCCACAAACTCAAGTTCAACAACTGCCACCAAGTAAAGTTCACTAAAAACCATAAACTCAAGTTCAACAATTGACAGAAAACTTAAGTTCAAAAAACACACAAAATCTAGTTCAAAAACACCACAAACTCAAGTTCAAACATGACAAAGTCAAGTTCAACCAACACTCAAATCTCAAATTAAACAATATCCAAAACCGCAAGTTCAAAAACAACAGAAACTCAAGTTCAAACACGCCACAAACTCAAGTTCAACAAATGTAAAAGTTTTAAGTTCAACCAAAACCCAAATCTCAAGTTGAACAATTTCAACAACCTCAAGTTCAAAAACAACAGAAACTCAAGTTCAAACACGAGACAAACTCAAGTTCAACAAACACACAATCCTCAAGTTCAACAATTGCCGTAACCTAAAGTTCAAAAACACCCCCAACTCAAGTTCAAACAAGACACAAACTCAAGTACAACAAACGCCACAAACTCAAGTACAACAAACGCTACAAACTAAAGTTCAGTGAAAAATACAGACTCAAGTTCAACAATTGCCACAAACTCAAGTTCAACAAATGACCTAAACTCACATTTAACAATTGCCAAAAACTCAAGTTCAACAAACTCAAGTTCAAAAATTGCCACAAACTCAAGTTAAAAAATGCTGAAACTGAAGTTCAACGAACACCACAAACTCAAGATCAACAAATTTCAAAGTTTGAAGTTCAACAACACCCAAATATCAAGTTTAACAATTGCCACAACCTCAAGTTCAACAAACACACAAACTCAAGTTCAAAAACACCACAAACTCAAGTTCTTAACAACACAAACTCAAGTTCAAAAAACACACAAGTTCAAGTTCAAAAACACCCCAAACTGAAGTTCAAACATGAAACAAAGTCAAGTTCAACCAAATCCCAAATCTCAAGTTCAACAATTTCCACAACTTCAAGTTCAAAAACAACAGAAACTCAAGTTAAAACACGCCACAAACTCAAGTTCAACAAAGACACAAACTCAAGTTCAAAAACACCACAAACCCAAGTTCAACCAACACCCAAATCTCAAGTTTAACAATTGCCACAAAACTAAGTTAAAAAACCACACAAACTCAAGTTCAAAAACACCACAAACTCAAGTTCAAACATGACACAAACTCAAGTTCAACGAACACCCAAATCTCAAGTTCAACAATTGCCACAACCTCAAGTTCAAAAACAACAGAAACTCAAGTTAAAACACGCCACAAACTCAAGTTCAACAAAGACACAAACTCAAGTTCAAAAACACCACAAACCCAAGTTCAACCAACACCCAAATCTCAAGTTTAACAATTGCCACAAAACTAAGTTAAAAAACCACACATACTCAAGTTCAAAAACACCACAAACTCAAGTTCAAACATGACACAAACTCAAGTTCAACCAACACCCAAATCTCAAGTTTAACAATTGCCACAACCTCAAGTTCAAAAACAACAGAAACTCAAGTTCAAACACGAGACAAACTGAAGTTCAACAAACACACAAACTCAAGTTCAATCAATACCAATTCTCAAGTTTAACAATTTCCACAACCTCAAGTTCAACAAACTCAAGTTCAAAAATTGCAAAAAAATCAAGTTCAAATATGACACAAACTCAAGTTCAACCAACACCCAAATCTCAAGTTTAACATTTGCCAAAACCTCAAGTTCAAAAACAACACAAACTCAAGTTCAAACACGCCACAAACTCAAGTTCAACAAACACACAAACTCAAGTTCAAAAACACCACAAATTCAAGTTCAAACATGTCACAAACTCAAGTTCAACAAACACAGAAACTCAAGTCAACCAATACCCAAATATGAAGCTTAGCGTTAAGGGGTGTTCAGACCAAACGCGACTTCGGTGACGTCGGCGATGGCTCCCAATACAAGTCTATGGACAGCCGCGACCTGACGCGACTTGGCGACTGCTGGCTACCTGCGTCGCGTTGCCGAGGTTGCGTTGCCGAGGTCGCAGGACGCCAAGTCTCGTCGCTCCCAAAGTTCAAATATTTGAACTGGGCTGCGGGATGTATATATGAGGGAGAAAAGGAGGGAGATGGAAGGTAGGAGAAGCGGGTCAGCAGCGACCAGCCGTGTCCTGCGACCGCAGCTTTGGACCTAGTGTGAACACACCAGAGCACCACGCGACGCGACGCGACCTGGTCGCGGCTGCAATTACACCTAATCCGCGGAGCCAAATCCTTGCAGGTACTGACATTAGTCTTGCTGTGCTCAGACTACAATGATAGACGCATTGTGGATTGCGGAGATGAGCCTGTGATGCTTAAATATCGTGATGCCCGGCTGTTTAAATCTCCGACCTTGGCTGAATTCATAGCTTTCGGCGTATTTGTAGATGTCATATGTAAAGTGTTTTCAGCACGCAGAACTGAACTGGACACATATCTCGCCATTATTTCTGATTCAGCCATGACATAGGGAGGATCACTATTCTAGGAACATTACAAATCATTTTCAGCAAAGCTGCTAAGTACATTCAAAGATTCAGCCAAAGACTTGATCAGTCCGTAGTCGACCTGGCTCTAATCAGTTAACAATTCACCGAGCATCAAGCTTTTTCCTGCTTAATCTGCGGGTCTTTCTCTCACCTGGAGGTGAAAGTAAGCCATTACGCAGCAGTACGCCATTTCGGGAAGACATAATCAGCTGTTTAAAGTTTTCACCCCTGTCATGTATCTAGGCTTAGTCTGTTGCTGCACATCAGTCTGCACTCTGCGTTATAACCGAAGTAATCCAATAGGACCATGCCGCTTGAGAGTGAGTGGTATTTGCTTACAAATAAACTCCAAGTGGGAGCACCAGTGCGCACTTTTGATTGGACGCTGGTTGCCTAGGTGCAGGGGCCCACCTTCCGCCTTTTGCGGAAGGAGGGAACTTTTAAAGAGTCAGCTGCTTCAATCTTAATGCAGAAATAAGACAAAATGCAGAGGAAAATAATAATAATAATAATAATAATAATAATAATAATAATAATAATAATAATAATAATTTTATGTTTAAGAGAGAGATACAGCAGATGATGATACTGTGGCATCGGAGTCAGCAACTCGCTTAACTTGGGTGTGCTCCTCTTGTACAAAGTCTACGGGTACAGTACCTGGAGGAACCTTATCCTACCTTGTCCACCCCTGCCCACACCTCTAATCGGTGCCCTAAAACTGTGGCTACAGGCCAACCACCCAAGCCTCTCTAAGCCTACTACTCGGAGAAGCCAAGTTACTCCAGGGACGGGCATCTGAAATCAGCATGCCCATGACGCACCCACCTGGTAAAACGGGAAAGAACAAAGCTGTCTACTCTGTCAAATGTCCTTGAGCCGGGGAAGGCACTGGCAAAGCATCCCAACGGCTGTTCGTGAAGCCATTCATTCAGACTGTGTTAGTCTGAGTGCAGCCTTGCAATCCTTAGTGCTCTCTGTTGACAGCTACTTGAGAGCTGGTTAAGCAAAATCAGCATTAAAGTTTATACGATTCTGCATGGTCTCACTTTACCTCTTTTGTACCACCTTCTCTGTAGCCCCAACGCCCTAAATATATCCATTGTATGTGCTTTAATAGTCCACAGTTTTGAATCTCGCACTTTTTTTCTTCTTCTAATATTTCCAAAACTAACTCTGTCTTTGTTCTTTATCCTCCATGTCCCGCTGCCTGAGAGGCCGGCCACTGGCCAGCCACTAAGAGTCTCTCTTTGCCACTGAAGAAGGGAAACCTATATCCAGATTGCAGCTTTCTGCTCACCTCTGCCTGCTCTGCCAATCCTGTTGGCTCCTACCTGAGTACAACTCTACGCATTCACAACGCATAGGCACAGCTACAACTGCATCTTCCATCGTCCCCGTCTCGACGCTCAAGGCTACGGGTCAATGGTCCCGATCAGCCTTTGAATGATACCTCAGGCCCAAGGCTAATATATTATTATTATTAGAATATTCCTATGCTCGATTAGCTACAAAAAAAAAAAATGCTGCTGCTCCTTAATTCTTTCCCATATCTATTGCATTACGCATATTCCCAACTATAAATTTGTGTATGGATTAAATTAATCCTGATCCATGATCATGTTGTGAGGGTAACCAATACTATGCAAGCTTTGTAGGTGGGTAGGTTGCTTCATAGTTTCTCGCTGCTGGCTGCCCTCCCTCCCCCGTAGGTGCCTTCATGTAGCTCATGAAAGCTGGGGAGGGTTGCCAGTATGGCTGCTGCTTTTTCTGCCTTGGCTTTTCATATATGCACATGAAAGGGAGGGGAGGGCATTCCCTCTCATTGCCTTGGGATTCTATGCAAGCACATGAGAGAGCAGGGAACTCTCAGAACACAGCCATACCGACAATGTTAAAAAATATTTTGCTAGTAATAAATAATTGATTCTAACTAAAGTAGTCCTGACTGAAATTAAGCATGGCTGTAGTTCAGGCAGGACACAAGGTACAGTCAAGCTAAAGGTTAAAGCCAGCTGATCTTAAGCTAGCCCTCAGTCAGATGACAGCTTAGCTGATCGCCCTCCACACATCCTTCAGATCGCTACACGGCTCATTCCTTTCACATAGGTGCAGCTACAACCGCAGCTATGACGGCTCCTGTGTCGACCCTCAAAGCCATGGGCCAATAGTCGTCAGCTGCGTACAAATGCTATCTGCGCCCCGAGGCTCGGGACATTCTCGAAGCCCAAAAACTATGAGTACCCATAAATTTGGCACATAGATGCTAATTAAATGAAATATATAAACAACCTGCAGATAAATATCCATGCTTGGGCAACGGGTCTCTCTAACCTGTCTTTCTTTCAGCAGCGCTCACCTCCCCTGCTAGCTCCTAGACTGCACGGCATGGTTGTTTTGGGGGGTTCTGTTCATTGCTGCTCTACCCCTGCCTCCTCCGCCTTCATGATGGCACGTGGAGGGCGGGAAGGTGCTCTTCCTGCCGCTGGCCTTTCACCCCTGCCAACGTGGAGAACGGGGGCCCTGAACAGAACCTCGCGTGCGCTCCCTGCTATCGCCTTTCATGATGGCTCGTGAAAGGCAGGAAGGGGCTCTTCCTGCCTCTGGCTTCCACACAAGCGCGTGGAAGGGCAGGGACCCGGAACAGAATCATGCCGCCAAATCTAACTTGCACAATAAAGCTAAAAATTTGGACAAAGTGTACCTGACTGAAATGAAGCATAGCGTTAGTTCTGTCAGGACACAACGTCAAGCGCTGATCCACAGCCAATGGCTAGTAGCCACCTCAACCAGATGATAATCAGCTGATTCACACCTAGATCCTATTGGTTCTTTGCCTATAGAGTGCCTTATTTAAAACTGCACTAACCCAGCCTCTTCCTCTGCTCTGACAGCAAACCAGCAACACACTGCCACACCAGCTCCACCCTCGTGCCAGCTAATTGCTCCACTGTCCTTGAAGCGCTCCTGTTCCAGGGGGGTTTGTTCATTGCTGCTCTACCCCGCCACCTCCGCCTTCATGATGGCTCGAGGAGGGCGAGTTTAACAATTTCCACAACCTCAAGTTCAAAAAGAACACAAACTCAAGTTCAAACACGCCACGAACTCAAGTTCAACAAACAAACAAACTCAAACTCAAGTTCAAAAACACCACAAACTCAAGTTCAACCAACACCCAAATCTAAAGTTTAACAATTGCCGAAGCCTCAAGTAAGAAAAACAACAAAAATTCAGGTTAAAACATGCCACAAACTCAAGCTCAACACCGCCACAAACTCAAGTTAAAAAACACCACAAACCCAAGTTCAAACACGCCACGAACTCAAGTTCAACCAAATCCCAAATCTCAAGTTTGACAATTGCCACAACCTCAAGTTCAAAAACAACAGAAACTCAAGTCAAAACACGCCACAAACTCAAGTTAAACAAACACACAAACTCAAGTTCAAAAACACCACAAACTCAAGTTCAACCAACACCCAAATCTCAAGTTTAACAATTGCCACATACTTAAATTCAAAAAACACACAAAAATTCAAACTAAAGTTCAGGGAAAAATACAGACTCAAGTTCAACAATTGCCACAAACTCAAGTTCAACAAACACCACAATCTTAAGTTCAAAAAATGCCAAAATTTCAAATTCAACAAATGACCTAAACTCACATTTAACAATTGCCAAAAACTCAAGTTCAACAAACTCAAGTTCAAAAATTGCAACAACCTTAAGTTCAAAAAACACACAAATTCAAGTTCAAAAACACCACAAACTCAAGTTAAAAAAAACACAAAAATTCAAGTTCAAAAACACCACAAACTCAAGTTAAATGAACACCACAAAGTCAAGTTCAACAAATGTCAAAGTTTTAAGTTCAACCAACACCCAAATCTAAAGATTAACAATTGCCAAAACCTCAAGTTAAAAAACAACACAAACTCAAGTTCAAACACGCGACAAACTCAAGTTTAACAATTGCCACCAAATAAAGTTCACTAAAAACCAAAGACTCAAGTTCAAAACTCAAGTTCAAAAATTGCAACAAACTCAAGTTCAAACACAACACTCAAGTTCAAACACGACACAAACTCAAGTTCAAACACGACACAAACTCAAGTTCAAACACGACACAAACTCAAGTTCAAACACGACACAAACTCAAGTTCAACAAACACACAAACTCAAGTTCAACAATTGCCACCAACTAATGTTCAGAGAAAAATACAGACTCAATGTTAACAATTGCCACAAACTCAAGTTCAACAAACACCACAAGCTTAAGTTCAAAAAATGCCAAAATTTAAAATTCAACAAATAACCTATATTAACATTAAAGAATTGCCAAAAACTTTAGTTCAACAAACTCAGGTTCAAAAAACACACAAATTCAAGTTCAAAAACACCACAAACTCAAGTTCAAAAATGCCGAAACTTAATTTCAACCAACACCCAAATCTCAAGTTTAACAAATTGCCACAACCTCATGTTCAAAAACAACAGAAACTCAAATTCAAAAACACCAAAAACTCAAGTTAAAAAAAACCCACACAAATTCAAGATCACAAAACAGCAAAATCTCAAGTTCAAACACGACACAAACTCAGGTTCAACAAACACACAAACTCAAGTTTAACCAATACCCAATTCTCACGTTTAACAATTTCCACAACCTCAAGTTCAAACACGACACAAACTCAAGTTCAAACACGACACAAACTCAAGTTCAAACACGACACAAACTCAAGTTCAAACAACACCCAAATATCAAGTTTAACATCTGCCAAAACCTCAAGTTCAAAAACACCACAAACTGAAGTTCCAAACGACAAAAACTTAAGTTCAACAAACGCCAAAAACTCAGGTTCAAAAACACCACAAACTCAAGTTCTAAATGACAAAAACTCAAGTTCAACAAACACACGAACTCAAGTTCAACCAATGCCCACTTCGCAAGTTTAACAATTTCCACAACCTCAAGTTTAAAAAAAAACAAAAACTCAAGTTCAGACACACCACAAACTCAAGTTAGAAAAACACACAGACTCAAGTTAAAAAATAACCAGAAAATCTAGTTCAAACACTTCACAAACTCAAGTTCAAAAACACCACAAACTCAAGTTCAACCAACACCTAAGTCACAAGTTTAACAATTGCCACAAACTTCAGTTCAAAAAACACAAAAGCTCAAGATCAAAAACACCACAAACTCAAGTTCAAACACGATTCACAAACTCAAGTTCAACCAAATCCCAAATCTCAAGTTTAACAATTTCCACAACCTCAAGTTCAAAACCAACAGAAACTCAAGTTCAAACACGCCACAAACTCAAGTACAGAAAAACACCACAAACTCAAGTTCAACAATTGCCACCAAGTAAAGTTCAGAGAAAAATACAGACTCAAGGTTAACAATTGCCACATACTCAAGTTCATCAAACACCACAAGCTTAAGTTCAAAAAATGACAAAATTTCAAATTCAACAAATGACCTATATTCACATTAAACAATTGCCAAAAACTCAAGTTCAACGAACTCAAGTTAAAAAAGTGCCACAAAATGAAGTTCAAAAACACCACAAACTCAAATTCAAAAAACACACAAACTCAAGTTCAAAAACACCACAAACTCAATTTCAAACACGATACAAACTCAAGTTCAACAAACACCACAAACTCAAGTTCAACAAATGTCACAGTTTCAAGTTCAACCAACACCCGATTCTGAGGTTTAACAATTTCCACAACCTCAAGTTCAAAAAACACCACAAACTCAAGTTCAAACACGCCACAAACTCAAGTTCAACAAACGCCACAAACTCAACTTCAAAAACACCACACAAACTGAAGTTCTAAAACGACACAAACTCAAGTTCAACAAACACAACAAGTCAAGTTCAAGCATCACCCGATTCTCAAGTTTAACAATTTCCACAACCTCAAGTTCAAAAAACACACAAACTCAAGTTCAAAAACACCAGAACCTCAAGTTCAAAAAACATAATAAACTCAAGTTCAAATATTCCACAAACTCAAGTTCAATGAACACCACAAACTCAAGTTCAACCAACACCCGATTCTCAAGTTTAACAATTGCCACAACCTCAAGTTGAAAAAAACACAAACTCAAGTTCAAACACTTCACAAACTCAAGTTCAACAAACGCCACAAACTCAAGTTCAACAATTGCCACCAACTAAAGTTCACTAAAAACCAAAGACTCAAGTTCAACAATTCCCAAAAAATCAAGCGAAACAAACTCAAGTTCATAAGTTGTCACAAACTTCAAACACGAGACAAACTCAAGTTCAAAAACACCACAAACTCAAGTTCAAAAAGACACAAACTCAAGTTCAACAAACAAAACTAACTATTTAGAGTAATTTTGAGGTGTTTGAGAGGTTTTTTGTAGACTTACCCTAGTGGTCCTATGTTGTTGTTGATGTGAGGCGTTTCTTTTCCAGTAGTCTAAAATCTGTTGGAGGGGGAAAAGGTTCCAGCTGTCCAGCCGCGGCGGCAGCGGTGTGTCTGAAGTCCGGGGTCCTCGGCGGGGGAAAGAAGATAGGCGCTCCGCGGCAAGGTTTGCTGGGACTCGGTGCCGTCGGCGGGTCGAAGCTCGGTGGTGGGCGGCTTGGAGTGATGGAGGTGCGGCGTCTTCTTTCAGGTGGCGGCGCGGCGTCTTCCTCGAGGCGGTGGTCGGTCTTCTTGGTCCAGTGGTCAGTGCTTTGTCTCAATTACAGGAACAGGAATTGCTCTTTAGTGCACAGCACTTAAATGTGCTTTTGACAGGAGAAGACATCCCCAGAGTTGGGCTCGAGTCATGGTTCGTGCTGTTCCTCTCAGACATGGTTGTGTTCTCTTCTCGATGTTTGTATTCCAGAATGGATGTCTCTTGGTTGTATTTTAAACTTTCAAGTTGTTTTAAGTTAATTTTAATGTAGTTTATTTATTTTAAATTTAGTTTTGCTACATTAAATTTGTATGCAATCGTAAGGGATTGTGGGTATTTTAGTTCTGAGGGATGAGAGCCTAAGGAATCAATCTTCCTGTTACAGCAAAGGATTGTGGGTAAAACCGTGAGTGAGTGAGGTACTTCCTTTCTGCCATGAGAGCCTTGGGAATCAATCTCCCTGTTGCAGCAAAGGATTGTGGGTAAAACCGTGAGTGAGGGAGGTACATTTTTCCTGGCATGAGAACCTCAGGAGTCAGTCCTTCCTAAGAAAAAAGAGGGGAGGGGGAAGACAAACAAAAGCACAGGAACCCTAAAATGAAATAAAATAAAATAAAATGAAATAATATAAAACAATGAAAAAATAAAAAATAAAAGAAGAACAAAAGTGGATTGCAAAAGGGAAAGGAGAAGAAAAAAGGAAAAAAAGAAGTGTCAAGAGCAAATAGCAAAAAACGGAAGTGAGCTTAAAAACAGAGAACAGTTCCCTAAAAGACAGACAGAAATGTAAATTTGATCAATGTCCTAAGGGAAAATCTGCACGTGTATGTGTGTTCTTTTTTACTAGCTTAGTCTGGTGTCACTGATGGTCAGTTATCAATAAGTATTTATTATTTAAATTTTTGATGAAGTTGTTTGTAGTGGGGTTAGCTGGCTAATTTTAGAGTGTTAAAAAAGATGTTAGAGGGGGAGGATTTAGGTGGCACGGCGGTTCCCCTTCAGGTCTCTCTTAATCTTCAATATAGGTGACCCAACAGGGGTTACCCCCCGGCCGGGGTAGGCCGAGGCTGAAGATCACCTATTTGTCATCTGTGAAGGTGAAAATAAAGGGGCAGGGGAGGGAATAAGAAAGAGGGGGGGTGTTAGAGAGAGGGGGAGAGATGAGGGAGAGAGATGAGGGAGAGAGAGAGAGACAGAGAGGGGGGGGGGTGTGAGAGAGAGAGAGAGAGAGAGAGAAGGGAAGAGGGAGAGGGGGGTTTAAGGGAGAGGTGGAGATGGTGGAAAATAAAGATTGGTGAGGGGGATTTGGTGGCGGATGAAACATCCCATAGCTCCCCAGCTCTCACCATCCATGTGAGGAGAGTGAGCAAGGGACATAGTCACCCGACCCGACTAGGTCTAGGCTCTGCTCTCCTCACGGTCCTCACAAGATACAAAGAGATATGTAAACGTGGAAGTGAGAGTTCTCTAGGCAGAGTTTTGGGTTTGGTTTGAGCTGAGTTGGTCAGTTGATTATTGATTACTATTTTAAGTTCTAAAAGTGGATAGAGTCAAAAAGTCACAGAGGATTGTGGTGGGAGCAGGTGGTCCATCTGGCACCATTCTCTCATGCAGGGATTCGAGTGATAGAAAGAGAATAGATCTTGCCACCGTGACTCGCCATTGAGACTCTCCTCACCTGCTGGTTTTCATCCTCTGATAGGAGAGAGAGGTACAGATCAGGAGAGAGGGAGAAAAGGAGGGAGGCAGGGTGGGGTCAGGAGTTAATTTGTCTTGAAAAGTATTTATCTTTTCGTCATTGCTGTTAGGGTTTAGATGTTTTTTGTTTAGTTTTCTGAGGAATGTAGTGTTAGTATAGGTTCCAAGGTGGAGGATTCTTTGGAATTCACTCTCACCCTTGAAACTGGAAGATCTTAGACTCTAAAAAAGGGGGGGGGGAGGTTGTGTGCACAGAAGGAGCATGGGCTCAGACTATTCTCGGAATGATATTGTGACAAGTCTGTCCGAAGGTAAGTGGCTGGTTAGGTGTGGGAAAGAGATAGAGTGATAGCCCCCGCTTTCGTCAGTTGACTTGGCGGTTTGAGGTAGGCTGATCAAGGACTTGCACTGGCCGGCGCATGTCGACCTGTCACATGTTCCAGTCGAGTCTCCGAGCTCAATCTGTGTGTAAAAATTATGTGTTGGTAGAAAGTTTAATGACTCAGCTCAGTTGGTATGCTATGCTGTCTATCTTTTAGACTATGTGTTTGTTGAGCAATTTTATGTATATATTATGTTACAGGGCTAGGAAAAGGTTAAAGGTTTTTGACGTTAGGGTTAAAATCACTGTCCAAAACCTTTGTAGGAACTCTTTTCCAACCTTTTGGAGGGAGCTAGACCAGAAAAAAAAGAAGAAAGAAAAAAAAATTGGGGTGTTCGGGCTTCCTGAAGGTAATACCCGGTATTAGGTTTTGGGGCTAGGGTAACTTTTAAGGTTTTTGGCGATATGGTTAAAATCACTGTCCAAAACCTTTGTAGGAAGTCTTTTCCAACCTTTTGGAGTTAGTTAGACAAAAAAAAAAAGATAAATGAAAAAAATATATTTGGGGTGTTCGGGCTTCCTGAAGGTAATACCCGGGTATTAGGTTATGGGGCTAGGGTAAGGTTTAAGGCTTTTGGCGTATGGGTTAAAATCACTGTCCAAAACCTTTTTAGGAACATGTTTCAGACCTTTTGGAGTTAGTTAGTCCAAAAAAAAGATAAATGAAAAAAATATATTTGGGGTGTTCGGGCTTCCTGAAGGTAATACCCGGGTATTAGG